GGTGCGTTTCTATCAGTCTTCCTACCATTATGACCAAGTTGCGAAAACAAGGTCAAACAACTTCTATTCACATAGTCTTGCTTACTAAAAGATATTCTTATCCCGGACAGACTGCAGTTTCTACCTCGCCTAGGTCTTGTGAGCACCCCCCAGTGGAACTCTAACTATAGAAGTGCAGTGTATCATCTTCACACGCTACCAACTAAGCCACATTGCCACAAGTTCCCTTAGATCAAAGGGCAAATATTAATTTCAAGAAAGGCCGATATCACATTCTTTGTGTATTTATGGGTCGCCTCTTCGAACGAAATGAAGGTTGCTTCAGCATCAATCTTTTGCGGGATTCTTCGAAAACTAGTTTTTCTACATACTTATAGAGCAAGAATTATCTGTGGGTAAAAAATAAAGCCCTTTGGAAAGGACCTAGAATATTCGGTTTCAAGTATTGAGCTAAGGTGACAGTAAAAGGTACGCCTAAAAGTGATGAGGGATGGACAGGGCCTATCTCGTGGAACAGGACCTAACCAATGAAGTGAGGTAGGGGTTGAATGAACACCCATAGATCTAGACTGCGAGTAAGCTTTCAAATGGGACTAAAAGGGTCTCAGCGATCCCGAAGATCTATTTGCTGCACCAAAGTTCATGCCATTAACTTTCTGGCAAGTCTCTTGTTATTTTATGTCATATATCCAGCCTTTCTTCTTATTTGAGAAATGGGAGGCATGTCCATGATTCAGTCTAAGTAGACATGCCTGACAGATTGAAAGTAAATGACTTGTGCTAATTATAACATATTTCGCAAAAAGAGCATAAGCAAGGTCGCTATGAAGCTAAGTAACATCTGATTTTGTAAAAACGACTAATCCTCCCAGCGAAAGCATTTAGGAAGTGATGGATTAAGGAATATTGTTAACGAAGATATACCTTTTATTGCGTTTGAAAAAGCTAAAGGAAGGGGTTTGTAAATTGGTCACACTGGAAGCTTAATTAGGATGGAGACTGTAGATTTGTGTGATTAAGGTGTTGTATGGTACTCCCGCGACCTCAATGAATCCGTACTGAGCTTTCATTTAACCCACCATGGCATACATCACCAGAGCTCTACAAGTAAGCCAAGCCCGAATACAAGAATCGTGACAAGTTGCAATCCTATCTACTTCGTTAGTTTAACTTTCCTCACCTAATTACACATATCATCCACGGGACGGTATATTGAGTACTTATTTACAATAAGAACTTTGAGGAAATCCTGCTACGACCAATTTAAGAATCATTTTCGCTCGCCTCTTTAGATGAAATGAAAGGTAGGTTAAAAATAATTTATAAAGGGATATTCTGATAACAAATATTTATTAATATCAAATTAATCCCTACGGCTAGCAAGCTGTCCGAGCTTCATTACCTTACCCTAGACGCAAGAAAATATTGGCCAGGAAAATTAACCAGATTCATCTTTGAAATTATGTTAATCTAGTCGTCCCTAAACTTTTATTATTGTTAGACTAAATTTGGCCAGTAGAACTAAGCAATCGAATTTTGGAACTCAATGAAACAGTATAAACTGAAGGAGTGAAAACCAAGGTGGGTTCTCGGTCTTTATTCGTTGCATAGAAATAGTATGGCCTCGTCTTCTCAACTTGGCTG